TGTGTGTGTGTGTGTGTGTGTAAGTGTAAGGGAGGGGAGCCTGCAGTTTGCCGGAGGTGAGACCAGAATCTGTTGGTGCCTTGGTTACCCTTGGGTTGGAAGGGAGAGGAATTGATGGAGTCCCATGTGCTTTATTCAAGAAGCAATAGAGGGACAGCAACCCTTTGGACCCTTCTACCTGAAAATTGTCAGGAGACATACCTTGTATGTGAAGTCTCAGAAGGCTCAGAGGGCCTTGGCTTCCTTCTGAGCTGTCGAAAGCTCCCAGGACACTGGTCAGACAACTCGTAGGGCCCAGGTGTGCACTGGCTGTGGGGTGTGCCTTTGCGAAGGGCCAGTCTAGCTTTTACATCCTTCTTTTGGGCCGTCAAGCAGCAGTTTGTTTCCTGTGAATGTTTTCAGCCTCCGACTTTAGAAGTTTCTTCTCCATGGCTTTCTGCTTAGATAATTTGTCCGCAACCCGCCCGCCCCAGGTCCTGAACTGTGCAGCGGCTCTTGTTCTGGGGCTGCCAAGAGGGTGGCCCTTTCCTCGCAGAGTAGGGCAAGAAGCCCCAGGACCTTTGTATAAAAGGACCCATGCCTGCTAAGACAAGGACCAGGAGGCCTAGGGTGGTCTGCTGCTATAGGTGTTTCATGCTTTAAGTTATAAAGCCATTAAATTCTTTTTAAAATACCAACATGAGAGGGGCACCTGGCTGGCTCAGTTGGTAGAGTGTGTGACTCTTGAACTCAGGAGTTCAAGCCCCACATTGGGCATAGAGCTTGAGAAAATAAGTAAAAATAGATATATTTGTAAAAATACCAACATGAGAGGGTCGTCTAGGTGGCTCACTCACTTAAGCCTCTGACTCTTGGTTTGGGCTCAGGTCACGATTTCAGTCAGGAGATCAGTGCAAAGTAGCACAGAGCCTGTTTGGGACTCTCTCTCCCCCTCTCTCCCCCTCCCCCACTCCCGTGCCTTCCCACGAACTCTTTTTTTAATGCTTATTTTTGAGAGAGAGAGAAGGAGATACCGAATTCGAAGCAGGCTCCAGGCTTTTCCATATCAGCACAGAGCCTGACCTGGGGCTCCAAACCCACAAACCACCAGATCATGGCCTGAGCCGCAGTCCGACGCTTAACCGACTGAGCCACCCAGGCGCCCCTCAAAATAAACA